TGGGGTATTTTAATTGTTTATGGGCTTTTGATTTTTAATTGTGAGCCACCCAGAGTCACCTGTTGGGGGAGATGGGCAGCATACAAATTTAATAATAATAATAATAATAAATAAATAAATAAATAAATAAATGTTAGTTAGTTAGTTAGTTAGTTAGTTTATGGGATGCTGGGTTATTTAGGCCTTTGCTCCACCCTATGTTCTATAGGATGGCTGCTTATTTCAGTCAGGCAGTTCTTAATTCAAACTGATTTTGGACTAGATTTTCAGTACCAGTGCTAAACCCTGAAATGTGTGAAATAGAAAGATGAGAGGGATGGAGTCTTTGAACATGCATTTTTTTCACTATCCAAATCCTAAATGATCTCCTTGTATATCTTTCTTGTTGGGGATTGGCTTCCTTAAAAAGGAGACAGGTGATGGAAATGAACTCTAGATTACTGACAGGGTTGACCACCTACAGACATGTGAGATAATAGGAAGTGGATTAAGATGGGTAATGCAGAGATTGGTGGAACTAGTCATTAATTTCTCAAACACATGCTCACATGGATCAAGTTTATCTCAGAACGTGATCCATGTGAGCAAGAACTTCTAGAAACTTAGCTTGTAAACTAGGCACACAAATCCAGTTGAACTCAATGGACATTGCTTCCAAACTGGGCAAAGAGGATTGTCTTATTAATTTCAAAATGGTAGGGGTTGACTATTGTCACTCAATAGCAAAGGACAGAGACATTCCCCCACTCAGGGTGTTTTTCACCTTTATTGCCTTGAACACCTTCACACCTCAGAAGGAGCGTACTCCATGTTTCTGGATAGCCCCAATAAAAACAAAGATGCTCAGAGCTGCATTTATTAGATATAAGAAGCAGCACGTTGTAATCCTTGTTCAAACTACCAAGCTCACTGGCTGGCTGTGGTGAAGGCCACATTTCTCAGACTAATACACAGCACAAGCATTATACACCTAAGAAGTTACTTTTCTGCTTGCAGTTTACCATGGTGCAATCATGCCCTGACCACAGAAATCGTCCTTGATCACACAATGCTGCACTGATCTTGTCTCCAGCCATGAGTGAGACAGACTTATATTGTCACTAGATGTACTCATCTGCAAGCCCTATTTTTGCCATAAGCCAACATTACCCCAGCACAGCTTCAGTGTGTGGATAATGATTTGCTACCTATTATCCTGGAAGCGAGGTAAGCCAACCTATTGTAGGTGTGACCAAACACGCACTTTGGAAATATTGGAAGGTGTGGTCATGATCCTTCTTCTGGTTAGTAGCCAGAATCCACTGCAGCCTTTTCTCTCCCAGGGTCGGTCCCCCTCTATTAGCAGTGGGTTTCCTGAGATTCTTTTATACCAATCACTTTCTTCATTCCGTATTTTTGTATAGCTCAACTTTGCCCCAGGCTGCAGGAGAGCAGAACCCTGCTATTTTATTTAGGGGAGGGGAGGAGTCATATTAGCAGTATTCCTTTTGTACAGTATTTTGGAATGGCCAGACCCCCACTATTTTATTTGGGAAAGAAGATGCTACTCTGTTTTAACGGTATTCTGAAATACATCTTTATCTTAAGAGGCAGGAAACCCACTTTTCTACATGCAGCATCCCCAAAATAATGAGGGATGTAACACTGAACTTTTGTTATTTCTTTGCCAGTTTCCCTGTTTTTGTCACTTTCAATCACTTCCCCTCTTCCCGTGAAGTGACAGGGCTGCTTGTTCAGCAGCTTGTCAATTTTAGTTATCCGCTAGACCAGACCTAGCTAGTTGCAAAACAGGACAAGGTCTGTCTTCCTCCTCCTTGGGTAATTTTTGTTCTGTTGTCTTCCCATATGTTTCTTCATTTTGCATTATTTTCACTTGGGAAATGCCCAAAGGGGGTATGGAAGGGAAGGCAGACAAACCAGCTTAGAGAAGTCGATACAGAGTTCTGAAGTCAGACCCTCCCCAGTCTTGCTGCAGTGCTCTGATTCTTCCCTTGTCTGGTGAACTGTTGTGAGGTGAAAACCAATCATCTTGCCTGCCATACGTGGCACAGTCACAAATCAGGACAATGTGCAACAGAAGCAGGACAGGAATCAGCAGTGGGGACAGCAAGTTTTTCTCCAGCATTATTTTAAAGTACAGGTAGTCCTCGGGTTAAGACTGCAATTGGAACCGGAATTTCCACCAGTAAATGATGCGGTCATAAAATGTGACATCATGTCACCACATTGCTCAGTGGCAGCAATTCCAGCAGTCCTGGTTGCCGTCAAAACCCCAGGACTGTGTGGGTTGTTAAGCAGGAAGAGGCAGGAGTCCCAGGCAAGCAAGCTGGTGGGTGAGAGCTGCAGATGAGAGCTACAGGCAGGGGGGTGCCACGGGTGGGTGCTAGGGAGCCTGGGCAGGTGCCTCAGGCAGGGGGTGGGTGCCCTGGGTGGGCACTAGGAAGCATGGGTGGATGCCACAAAGGGGGGAGTGGGTGCTGCAGGCAGGCAGGAGGCAGCAATTGTAAATGTGGGCTGGCTTGAATGTTGATCACATGACCACAGGGGTGCTGCAACAGCTGGAACTTCAAGGACCAGCCATAAGTCCATTTTTTCAGCACTGCCGTAACTTTGAACAGTCGCTGAACAAATGGACATAAACTGAGGATTATCTGCAGTTATCCCCCCCCCCCCCCCAATCTTACACAGTCCTAGGATAACCTCAAAGAATCTGTTGGGCTTTGTCACCTCAGAGGGAAGTGAGGTGATTGGCAGTGGCAGGGAGCAGAGGCAACAGAGACAGGGATTTGGATTGGTGATGGCAGATTTTTTTCTGCTGATTCAAGAATGGGTAGATAATATTTTAATTCACCAGTGAGGAAAGGTCTGAGAAGGAATGGCAGGGTCCAGAGAAGCTAGCGACACTTCTATGAGCACAGCGGGTATTATTCAACAGGCCTCTGATCCACAGGAATCAACAGGTGGCCTCTGTGCCACTATCTCAGATGCGCAGCAAGAACAGAGCAGGCTGCAGTTCATTGTTCTTTTCATTCTGCCTTTAAAGGCACACATTCTCTTGCCGTTTAAAAAATACCCCTTTTGTTTGTTTGCCTTTTATGGTGCCACAAAATAGGGTTTCTAAATGTACTTTTGGAACTTAGTGATGTGCTACCCAAATTCACACCACAAAGAGCCTTGTGGCACTTTAAAGGCTAACCCATCGATTGGGGCATAAGCCTTCCCGCAGAACAGAGCACTTCATCAGATACCAGAGAAACCGGCCCTGGGCTGCCAACCGCTCTGCTTACTACAAGCTGGAAATAAAGAAGAGCAGATCCTCAGGGCATGATTTGATCCGGCAGGGTCTCTCCTCAACCCGCGCTTTGGGGAGGGGGAAACGATTTTCCCCAGCTACTCTGAAACAGCTGTCCCCAACTGGTCCCTCCAAAGGTGTTGGCCAATGACGGGCAGGGCGCCTGGTTGGGGAATCAGGGCTGCAAAGTTGCTCGGCAAGTTGCTTTCTCCGCCAGCGTGAGAGCCAAGTCAGGGGCGGAATCTCTTACCGGAGACGGTCAACTTGGGCTTCTCGGCTTCCGGCCCGTACCGGGGGTGCTGATGCTGGTGCTCCGAGCGGGGCTGGAGGAAGGGGAGGTGCGTCGGCAGGAGGCAAGGCGTCCCCGCGGGCTGCTGGGCGGCAAAGCCGCACAGGAAGCCCAAGCCCAGCGGCAAGGGAGCGCCTCCTCCTCCTCCTCCTCCTCCTCCTCCTCCTCGCCCCGCTGCTGGCCCGCCGCCTTCGCAGCCAGAGCCGACTGGCGGCTGCAGCTCCACCTCCAAGCCCAGGAGGTCGGTGATGGCGAAGCCCTTGGAGCGCAAGCCGCCGCTGGCCCCGGCCGGGCTCCCCAGGCGCGCCTTCTCGTGGCCACGGGCGCTGCTGGGCGCCAGCGCGTTCCCCTCGGCTTTGCCCTCTGAGAGCTCCTCGCGGCCCGTCATGCTGCCCGCCGCCGCCGCCGCCGGTTGGGAAGGGGGAGAAGC